TTCTTTTTTCTTTAGGAACTGTGTGAATTTGGTGGAATGCCCTCATAGTTTTCTGCAGTTTAGATTTGGTTTTCTTAGTCCTTGCTTCCTAATTTACTACTGGTTTTGGTCTGTTTAGTTGTCAGAAACAGATTATAAGGATTGGGAAGATGGTTATGATTTCTTTGAAGATGAATTATGTTTGTAATACTCCAGTAACTTCCATCACAGTTGCCTGACCCTTCAATCAAGTCTTTAGGCAATAGGTTTTACATCAGGGTGGTTGCGTGGGGTTTCTGCACCTCTCAAGCAATGAATTTACTGGCAGGGTTGTGGGACCGGGGATACAGCTTGGTTTTTTTTCTGTTGTGAATTTTAACTTATGCTGTGTTCCTAAAGAGCAGAATAGAAAGCTTTAGTCACCATCTGAGCTGGCAGAGGTGTGCTATTTTTGTAAGAGCTGTCAGAGATGCTCTAGGAGACTCTCCACTGAGATACGAAATGTGCTGTTTTGCCTAATAACTGTGATGCAAAGAGGAAAATGCCTTTGGCAGGGCAGAGTAGGGCTGGCTTGTTGATTGCAAAGATCCAGCGAAGAAGGCAAATAACTAGAGCCCAAGAAGGTGTGGTACAGCTGAGGGACAATATCAACATGATTTGGCAGTTTGCCTATGCTTATGTAAGATGCTGCTTTGTGATATGTCATGTAGGGTAATTGCCATGTTAATTAGTTGCTTCTTGATGTGGGGTAACGTGAAGTTTGTACCCTTGTACTTGGAAGGGTAGAACAAGAAGTCTGCTTTTTCTGGTAAGAGTTGGAGAACTAGAGAAGGTAGATAAGATGATATGTGCTTTATTGTTATCTGAAAGCTTTCTGAACTTGCTTTTTTTGATTGATGTGGAAAATAATGGCATTTAGACTATGGAATTATGTGTTTGAAAGAAGGCAAGTCAAAATATGGCAGAAGTAACCTATGAAAGAAAAATCTTGCAAAAATTGGATGGTTCTCTTAAGAAGTGGGGAGAAGGTTACAGTATCTCTGTCATGTGCTTTACATATGACTTGTTCAGACTAAATAGCCTGGGTTTTGTCACATCAGTATGCCTCAGCTAATGATCCCAGCATGCACTTAAGCTGATAACAGGCAATGTCAAACACTGTTGAAGAAATATCTCATCTGGTCGAGAGGTGGTGTCCCTGGCAACAGGGAGACTGGATTAAAATGATCTCTAAGGTGCCTTCCAGCCTAGGCTGTTCTATGATTCTATGAAATACTTAAGACCAGCTAAATCCTAACAAAGGCACTGTTCTGAAGAACTATATTCATTGCCCCATTATTTTCTCTCTTTTTTGTAGACCGAACAATAAAAATATGCTTTTCTTTTGATTCCTAGGGGTTTGCTTCCTGTTGTCATTAGTTGGGAGAGTCATGAAAAAATTTGGACTTTTGGTGTAACATAAGAATGACATCAAATCCTGTCTGTGATGAGTTAAAAAGAAAAAATCCAGTAGTGATCAAGGTTTCTAAAATGGTTATTAATTTCTTGTATTTACATATAAATTACCTTAGGGTTGTTTAATTTTACCCTTGCAATTTCTTTTTTTGTCTGATGAAATGCAAAGCTCTTTCTCTTTCTAATTTGTTAGCTAACCCCTTACATGTTAAAATTGGAAAGACTTTCTAAATATTGCAGTTGCTGGTTGCTAGCTCTTCTCTCTCATTGTATTTTGAAAATTTAAACACTCATTTATGTGTGTTTGCATGTGAACATCTACAGTAACTTTGTTCTGATACTTTATTTCTGTGAGTTTCTATTAGAAAGTAAAACATGCTGTGACTTTGGTACAGTCGGTGGAGGTTTGTCTCGGACCTGAGCACATGAGCATGGGAGAGTGTGAAGCTGTCAACTACTTGGATGCTCATGAGTTGTGGCTGGAAAAAAGTGCCTTTGGGCCAGCAGCAGCAGAACGCTGAGTTAAACTGAAATGGCAAGATGGTGCGGTTTTCTTATTTGTTTTAAAGGTGTGGGATAGTACAAATAAGCTTACACTGTATTTTGCTGAGGGGGGAAGTCTAGTTACTTGATAAGTCAGTAATGAGTTCATTTTTAATCCTTATACATGAATTTGCTAAGCTTTCAGAAACTCTTTGAGTTGCCTTGGGTAATGTGACACTGTCAAAATGGGTCTCCAGGAGCCTTTTAGTCTTTTAACTTAATTTCCATTATAATTTTGGAGGGGAATGAAGAATTTAGTATTTTTTTTGGTGTAATTTTCTTCTGGTTTGATTCTTTCAATATACTTGTTGATTTAAAAAAGTCATAAGATTATTTAGTTTTTAGGGGAGTTGGAACGTGTTACTACTCTTAAGAATCTGCCACATAGCTTGCATCTGCTAAGTTGATAAGTAAATATAGTTTATCCACCTTGCCAAGGTAATAACTAAATCCGGTTCATGTTTCAGTGTTGTGGGTTCTATTAGTTTCATTGTTCACCTTGCTAAAGGGGACACAGAAGACTAACATGGAGTTGCTTCTCCAAATGTTAGTGCATGTTTTGTACAAAATTGTCATACAAGTTCCCATTGCAGCTTTAGGACAAATTATTTTAAATACTCTCTTCCTCTGAAGCTGCTTCATTGGCTCTTGTGAGTGAGATTGATGCCTGGGAAGAAGAGGGGAGAGGCCTACTCTTGCTCAGCTTGTCCTTGCCTGTTTCACGATGGTGTGGAGCTTGCCTCATCTTGGCCTGCTGTGAGGAAAAGAGATCAACAAGTCTAATGTTACTCCTTAATGTAGTAACGTGACTTGAAGATGAGCTTGGGAGTTAAATCTAAGTATTTGTTAACCTTTTAGCTTGTGGAGGAGAATGTTGAATGAAACAAGAGCAATTCTTTTGTGCTGTGAGAGTAGTGAGACTCTCTCACAGGTTGCCCAGAGACACTGTGGGTGCTCCATACCTGAACGTGTCCAAGGCCAGGCTGGATGGGGCTTTGAGCAACCTGCTTTAGTGGGAGATGTCCCCCCTCATGGCAGAGGGGCTTGGAACTAGATGATCTTTAAGGTCCCTTTCAACCAAAGCCATTCCATGAATTTTAAATAAAGGCACTAGAAATCTGTTCTTCCTGGAGCATATCTATCGGTGTCAATGAAATTTGTAGTTAGGTATAAGGAACGGTGATGTAATTCCAGCCCTTCTTTTACTTTATCATGTTGATTCTTGTAGTGAAGCTTGATATATAAATCTGTATTTTGCTGTAGAAAAATATTAACACTAATACAAAAGGCTGTTACAAGCAGTTAATTCTTTTGCTATGTAAAAGATTCAGGATAGACTTTGGAAGCAATGTTGTTGCTTCACGTGAGTTTTAGGTGGCTAACACTAAATGAAGTCAGTGCTGATCTTAAAGGGAATAATTGGAGTCTGGTGCTGTGAGGGCTGGCCACTGCCTAGCAACTAATGGTGTCATGTTGGCTCAGCTCAACTCAGATAAGGACCAAAAATATTTTCCTCCAAATCCAAATGGAAAAACATAGAAGTATTTGTGTCAGGCACCAGCAGTGCATCTGAGGTAAGGTGAGCTGACAGGAGCACCTGGTACTGAAGTGTTTCAGAGCTAAGTGGGGGACCTGTTTCTTCTGCTGTGTTTTTAAGTAGTTTCTTTCAAACACGAGAAAAATACCATGTACTGATATGAACATTAACAAAGAGAAAATTAAAAGCCCTAGTGTCCTTATGTGTCCCCCCTTTCTCTCCCTGGAAATGTGTCTTTCTCCTCAGTCTGTTGGTCAAAACATTTAGCAGATGCTTGATTTCTTTTATTGTTTTAAGAAAGTGAAGCTTTGAAATTACTATACAGGTTTGCCAGGATTACATTCTATTCAGTAAAGAGGGTTAGTGTTTGGTTGATATTTAAATGCTCTTTGATCTCAAAGCCCTTTTCCTTTAAATGGTAGCAGTGGCTTTCAACAAGAAACAATCCCATTAATGCTTCCTGTATCTTTCTATTTGGTGTTACTGTGTACAATGTGGAAGTTAAAAGGAATAAAATAATTACTTTCTGGCCTCCTAAATTCTCACAGTTTTTACAGGAGGCTATGGCATTATTTGCATAATCAGTGTAACTGGTTGTGCTCTTTAATACTTACTGTATGCTGACTTATTTTTACAGACTTATTCTAATGTAGGTAGCTGTAATACATATATGTTTACAGTCTGTTATATAGCATGTCCTGGTCTTGCTAGCTCTAATGCTGATGTGGAACAATACTGGGATGTATCTGTCAGTGCCTGCTGAATAATTTTGCTGTAGTAAAGGTTTTCTAACACAGGATGGAAAAAAGCCAAGTTATATTTATGAAATCTCTAACTTAACAATGCTTAGCCTTTAAATCATAAGGTAATAATAGAAGGGTACAGTTCTTATGATGTCAGCATTTACTTTGTTTTTCTAGAGTTTTATAAATGCTTATAATTATATGAAGGTCTGTATATGTACTGTAGGATATGTGGAATTTATTTTGGTAAAGGCTGGAGCAGTTCTGTGCTGTTTGTCCCACAGAGGAGAATTTGACTGTGTATGGTCTTGAGTGTCGCACTCTGACTGTGGCTTGTCAGGTGGCAAGAAAAATCTAGCACAGGGTTATGTTATCTTTCTGAACAAAATATTTTTTTTCTAGGCACTGTCCATGTAATTTTTCCTGTGCTGTAGTAGAGTTCAATATTTTTGCTCTGACTTTTTGAGAAAGCTTTCCTCTATCTCTACTTGATAGTCAATTTTGTTTATTTTAGTCCAGTGAGAGACAGACCATAGACTCTTTCATTCCTATAAACAACTGGACTCCAATGGTTCTACCCAGTAAGTTGCTAGTTTTAGGTTAGACCAGTGGTATTTTAGCATAGGGAATGCAAACAGAGCGTGACCTTAAATATAAATTTAGCTAAAATAAAACAAGACTGATGGATGATGTATAAACATTGGAGGATGAATCTTTTAGCTAACATCTGCTGACTAAGCAAGATTAAAAAAAAAAAATCTATTTTGGCAACAGTTAGGAGTGATAGTTGCAGCAGTCTTTTGAACCAAGTAACTAGTGTTCTTCCCCAAGTCTGGAGGTTTGTTTCCTTCCCAGCTATATTGTGCAATATGTGATTGGTTTTTATTTTGCTTCAGTGACTTCTCAGCTTTGAAAGTGCCAAATTCTTAATCTGTCAGAACCTCCCCTCACCACCTGATTTCCAAAATTTTCTGGAACGTTTCAAAGATGATTCGTGGAAAGTTGCAAAAATTGATTGTGTCTTCATGGCTTTAATACAGGAACTCTTCAAATCTAGCTTTGGAAAGTTAAAAGCTTACAGCTTCCAACCATCTATTCGGCCCTTTTGGTCAGTAATTTCCACTCCCTTGGCCAATTCAGTAAAGAGAAATGTGTGCGTGCAGCTTTCTGATCATTTGAGAAGCTCTGTTTTGATTCATCTCCTTCTCAACTTGACCAAAGATGTTGGATTTTGCACCAAAAGAGTTGGGGCGTGGGGACCACTCTAGGGAATCAAAGCCCATAGGCTACCTCGGTGTTTTAGTACCCTTTCTGTCTGGGAAGGAGAGGGACAGTGTATGATCATGCAGTGCTGCATGCCTTCTCTCAACATTTACCTTGCTCAGCATTGTCGAAGTACTTCACCTCTAAGTGAGTAAAAACATAACAAACAATTCCTTTCTCTAGCATGGGGCTAGCTCTCATATGACAGGGCTTTGGTCAGGGATTATTGGATTCAAGAAAATTAAGTATGTTTGGGAGAATGTGTGTTGCTGGACCCATTCTCCCATAAATAAACTCTTTTCAGCTTTGTATTGTGATCTGACTCATGAGTAAGAATAATATTAGATAGTTAAGAAACTTGTTCTTTTCCATATTTATGCCTTTCCCAGCCAGCAGAACTAGTTTCTTTTGCTGTACACTCGAGAACCACCTCTTGGTTCATGAGACATTAGAGTTAAAATAGTCATGTTTCCTTTTGTGTGGGAATTATGTTACTTTTTCCTGAAGCCTGCTTACCTTTCTTCCCTCCATCTTATGAGCACCCTCCTGCTTCATGTGGTCAAGGGGACATGTACAGACTTTAGAAGCAGTTGCAACAAGGAGGCAGGTACCTGGCAGCGTGGGGAAAGGTGCTTTTACATAATAGGTGAGGAAAGGGCTGATGAAAAATAGGTGAAAAAGAAAGGAATATGGAATGGTAAGGAACAGAAAGCAGTTTTGTCATTTTAAGTTGTTGTTCGTAGAGTATTTGTGACTTATCCTTTTAAGTGATTGAAATGACATACAATACTTGACTGAAAGTTCAAAGTTGTACTTGACTGTGAGACATGATAAAAGTATGCAACCTGTTGGATGTGTGAAGATTTTTAGAAACAGCAAAACAAGAATAGGAAAAAGAGCCCAAGTTTTTCATGTTTTAGCTCCAGTTAATATTAAAGAAAAAATTACTTAGCTAGTTGGTTAAAAGAGTTGTTCTTGGCCCTTCAGAACTGCATGTGATAAGAGGAAGATTATAGATTAACTAAATATTTCAAATTGTCTTTAACCTTGGCTCACAACAAAAATGTAAGACCTTTACCACTGGGTTAAGAGTGTACTAGAAAATGCATCCTTTTTTTTCCTTTGAGCAGTTCTGCCCTTCCAGAACTCCTGACATTCCCAACCTGTACATTAATATGACAGAAAAGCACATGTGTCCTGCTTATTTACACCTTTATAAATCTTGATAAGGGTTTATACTGATGATGTTGTGGCTGAATACAGGCTCTGATTACTTCCTGAGGAATGTAAGAATTAAGGTCTCTGACCTCGAATTGGTGAACACTAGTAGGTAAAAATTGGGTTGAAGAAAACGTTTCAGAAATATTATGAAACAGTTGCTATACATACATTTAATGCTGTGCATTTAACTTTTGACATGTCTAACTCTGGAATTTCTAGTTCCGGAACAACTATTCTTTAAATTTTAAATTTAAATTTTGTGTATAAACATTTCACTAGCAAAGCTATCTATGTAAAGTCTGTAGAAAATCCAAGATGTACATTTGTGCTGACAAGTGTACTAATGAATTTAAGTTAGCAGAGTAGAACTGGCTCAACTTACTCTGAGTGTTCCGCCTTTAAACTTCTGTAATTACAGATCACTTGTGTACTCTTTACTGTAAATTGTGGTCTAACAGTGTACACACGATCGATCACACTTTCTTTATACAAGGCTATATAGTAGAAAGCATTCTGTTCAACAAATTCCCAGATGAGATCAGAAGAGGATTAGATGACATTGAATGTCTTGTAATGCCCTTAGGCAGACCTATGTTAAGAGTTTAAGTTGATGATTCTAGGGGTAGGGGGATCTTCCAGACTTCTTAAAAATGATTCCTTAACCTTAAATCTATTTTTTTTCCTTGCAGACCTTTCAGCTGCCCAGAGAAAGTTTGCTCATTCTCTGAGAGACTTTAAATTTGAATTCATTGGTGACGCAGAGACAGATGATGAAAGATATATAGGTAGGTTAGAAGTGACTATAAGTGGCTATTTTTTACTGTGCAGTCCTTGCGACATGGTTAAACTTTTTTCCAATTTTGTATTACAGATGCATCACTTCATGAGTTTTCAAACTTTCTAAAAAATCTGGAAGAACAAAGAGAAATTTTGGTGAGTTGCAATAAAGAAATTTTTTAAAGCTGTACATGTCGTGGAGTAAGGTGAAAGCCAGTCCAAGTTGCTTACTGCTTTGTTAACCACCAAGGTGTTGATATCAATAACTTTCACTTGTAGTGAAAGATGTCATTGTGCAGCCTCTGATTCTGTAGTCTCAAGGAAGACAGCAGCTATTTCTCATTAAAGAAAACTGTTATGGTAAGGACAGATAACTGTTGGTTTAAAATAGTAGTGTCATGATGGGTGAATGGGAAGATCGTTTACCATTTACAGTAAAAAGCAAGATGAAAGGCTTAATACTGTAGCAGAACACTCGAGGTTGGGAAGCTGACCAAATTTGGATCCAGGATCTCTGTGGCTCCAGCTTTAACACTTATGTGGATTTGGAATGCAATCTGTTGGCTGGGTGCGGTAGCAGGCTTACAGACTTTTTGTTTGTAGATGAGCTTTCTGGTGGAGGGTTGTGTCTGCAAACATTTAGTTGCTCTCTTGTGTAGAAGAGAACTCTGCAGTACACCTTGCTAGCTTGATTATTTCAAGTTGTCCAGAAAATGGAGTGCTACTCTGCAGTTGCATGCCCAGCTTTTGTTTCAGAGCAGGTATTCATAGGATAGATGATGTGTACCCAAATTTTTCTAAGTGTGGAAGTGCTTTTAGGTCTGCCCAGGTGGCAATTATGGTCCTTTCTAATTTTGAGGAGTTCCATGTGATTACATCTTTCTCTACCTGGAAGTCAGTGAACACTTGGCATCGCTGAGACTAATCTGTGTTCTGTGCTCCTCTGCAAGAAGCTGTGCCTGCAGTGTAGGAGTATATAGATAAGTCAGAAAAGAAAATTGTGAACTTTTTTTTTTAACATTTCTCTCTGGCAGTGCTGAGCCAATAGGAGTCATGATTCCTTGAGCGTGCTGTGTTATGTCCTGATATGTTGTTCTCATCTGGAACCACATTTGGGTCAGAATTAGGGTATATGTAGTTCGTTGCACAATCCTGAAGAATATTGTCTTTACATAGTAGAGAGGGTTTTTCAGTGTCTTGAATTGTTTTGTCCAGTTGTAGACATTTGCTCAAGTATGTTTGAAATGCTTCTTTTGTTTTTTGTACTTCTGAAATATGGTCCCTGCTTCTTCTTGCCCTTCATAGCTGTGTTTTCTTTTAGTGAAGTTGCATACATCTGATTAGCGAAAGTCTTTGGGAAGTTTTACGGTGTAAATTAATGTATAGCCTGACACATTGTTTTCCACACTTTTGATATCAGATTTTTGAGACATGTCAGCTTCAGGAGTTCAGACTTATATAGTGTGTTTCAGTGACTGTATCAATAGATCCTCAGCAGTGATAGATTCCCAGCCCAGTAGACTGTGCATATTCCAGTGCTGGCTTCCTGTATAGGGAAACACTTTGGGTTTTCAAACTGAATGCAATAAAACTATTACTTTTTTTTTTTTGTTATGATGCCCATTCTTACCCAGAAGGAATTAACACACAGAAAGCTAATGTTGGTTTCTTGATAAGAAAAGGATGAAACGTAGTATTTGTTAGAACAGTGACAGTTTCATGAAAAACTGAGAAGGTTAAAATATTGTAGGGCAAATATTTAATTCCAAGTAGGAACCGAGTATACCCTTTTTTCATTGCACAGCTAATGACATACATGTATTATTTATAGACAGTTAATATAATGGCAGTAAGTCTGAGAAAATGATTGTGTGGTGACCAGTAGAGATAAAAGTCTGAACAGCAGCTCTGAAAGTATTTTTTTTTTTTTTAATCTTTTGATGGATGTTTTAACAGTGGCATGAACTCCTGAGATATTCCCATGGAGAATGTTAGAGCATGTTGCACTTGCAGATGTTTGGGATTGGGTCGGGAATCCAAAGACTTTCCATTAAATGCCAAGTATATAGCAGGTTTTTGTTTTTCTTCAAAAGCGCTCAGTTGTCTTTAAGAATGCTCTTTATTGAGTCTTTTCCTGCTTGCCATTTTGAAGATGACCAGAGATTTCTGAGTGCTCACTTAAGTTTTAGCACAGAATTACGAATAAATTTCCCTTCCCAGTCCTAGTTCTTCTGACAGCAAGAAGCAGGGTTGGTTCTTGATGGGCCTGGAACAGACTTCGCTGGCTGCTTTTATTTAAGCCATAGTGATGAGCAGTGTGGGGCTGCCTGGTAGGTACTGATTGCCTGTGGCTGTTGTGCTTTTCCTCCTCCTTCACCTTCCTTTTTACCACATTCATGTGTTCCTTCCTCCATCCCAGTCTTTTCCCAAACGACCAGCTTGCCCCAATCAGCTTTTCCTGTTGATTCTACTCTTACTCAATCATGGCCAAATTTGATAGTGCTTGTGCAATAATCTCAACTGCACTGGGCACTACTGGTATGGTCACCCCAGTGTGCCAGCTGTGTGTGTTTCGCCTCCATGGACTTCCTTTGTCCTGCCCTCTAGCTGCTTCTAGAGTTCACCTGTTTCTCGCATAACTGTCCTTTAACCATGCTGAGGACAAGTCACCCCTTGCAGCACTGACTGTGACTTTTGTCAGTGTCTCACAATTAGGAGCTGTGTCCAGCAATCTTTTGAGTCCCATCTGGCAATGTCGTGTGTCCTGCTTGGTCAGTTTACTCCTGTGCCAGGACTGAGTGTCTTGGCTCCATTTGCCTCCAGCCGTGCCAGAGGTGTAGCTTACAGCAGGGTCATGTATTCCTAGATGATTACTTTTCCTTCATGATAGTATTTTCACTGTTACCCTCTCAAAGGGGTGTTTTATTTTTACATCTGTATTTTTTCTTACGTGATTTAATTACACTGAGTTTAGACCATCTCTCTTTTAGGTCAAAATTATTTTTAATCCTTCTTTCTGAAACTGTTGATGTTTCCTTATGGATTCCTGTCACTCCACATGTATATTAGGGTGGTGGAGCTATTGCTAAGTCACTCTATAAATTTCTACTGAAAATTGGATCATGCAGGAAACTTGGCTGTATTTCTCCTGTATGGTGCTTAAAATGTCTTCTTAGCTGAACAGGTAATTTTCAGCACAGTTTTACAACCAGGATGCTGTTTTGTCATTCTTCTGTGGTTTATCTGTGAAGTCCAGGTGGTCAGCTTTGCTTTTGAGAATGTTGTGTGGGTCAGCATTGAAAACTTCATTGAGAAGATCAGCTACTGTGCTGATGGAAGCCTAGTCTCCTTTTTTTGTTCTTAAATTCAAGTTGCTATTAAACCTTGTATAGTGTGTTCTAGGACTTTTTGAGTATCAGAGTTGCTGTATCTGGTCTGTAACTTTCTCAGTTCCTGCTTCCTCCTGCTCTTCTTGCTTTTAAGTTCACACAGAACATTAGGGGTTGGAAGGGACCTCCTAGAGATCTAGTCCAACTCCCCTGCCAAAGAAGGATCATCTAGAGTAGGTCACACAGGAGCGTGTGCAGGCAGATTTTGAGTGCCTTCAGAGAAGGAGACCCTACAACCTCTCTGGGCAGCCTGTGACAGTGCTCTGTCACCCTCACAGTGAAAAAGCTTTTCCTCGTGTGTTTGTGGAGCCTCCTGTGCTCCAGCTTGCATCCATTGCCCATTGTTCTGTTGCTAGACATCACTGAGAAGACCCTGGCTCCATCCTCCTGACACTCACCCTTTACATATTTATAAACATTAATGGGGTCACCCTGCAGCCTCTTCTTGTCCAAGCTAAAGAGACCCAGCTCCTTCAGCCTTTCCTCATAAGGGAGATGTTCCACTCCCTTCATCCTCTTTGTGGCTCTGCGCTGGACTCTCTCAAGCAGTTCCCTGTCTCTCTTGA